ATTTTAATTATTTCCAAACCTCCGGGAAACCAAAAAATAATTAAAAATAATTGAAATAATTAAAATAATTAAAATAATTAGAATTTTAATTATTTCCAAACCTCCGGGAAAAATAATTGAAACTATTTAAATTAATTAAAATAATTAAATTAATTAAAAATAATCAAAACAATTAAAATGTTAATTGTTTCCGAACCTCCGGTCAACCCAAAAATAATTAAAACTAATTAAAAATAATTAAAATAATTAAAATAATTGAAATAATTAAAATTTTAATTATTTCCAAACCTCCGGGAAAAATAATTAAGAATAATTATAATCAAAATAAGTAAAAATAATCAAAATAATTAAAATATTTAGAATTTTAATTGTTTCCGAACGTCCGGTAAACACAAAATAACTAAAAATACCCAAAATAACTACAAATAGATAAAACAAATAAAATGAAATAAATAAACAAATTTTTAATTGTTTCCAAACCTCCGGTAAACCCAACATATTTAAAAATAAATTCGGAAAAGTAAAACAAATAAAAGACTAAAAATGTGATTTAGTTAATGTTTGCAATTTGTGAAATGTATACGGCTGTATACGCTGAGCTATATTTTCTTTTTTGTTTGAGAAACGGTCCACGACACATAGTACCAGTTTTTCTATCATACGGGGGGAATCCCCCTGCTGGACCAGTTCATCCTGGGGGTGGTCCGCTTCCAAGTCGCCTGCAGTGCCAGGTTCAATGACCTCCAGCATACCTCGACCAGTAGCTTGCAGATCAGCTCATCCACCATTGAACTTAGTGCCTGGTAGACCAAGACAGTGTCCGCGTTCAAGATAAAGAAGTCCCCGGTTCCTCTCGTCGCACCCAAGTATTCCTTCACGGGCCAGCAAGATGCACGCACTTGAGGCCTTCGTGGACTCGGACTACCTGATCCCCACACTGAGCAAGGATGGCCTGGGCCTGATTCCTCGACCCTCCTCACCGGACAGGGCGCTTCGATGGCTCAAGGCAGCATTGGGCCGCCGGGGCCTACGAGGCCCAAGTGCCTGTCCCTTGACCAAGCTACTTCTCCAGCCACTCTGGCAATGGAAAGGAGCGGTGAAGTCCTCCGGCAAGCCAAACCACCTGATCCGCACCTTTGCCAAGATGCTGCGCCTTCTCTTCCATGAGCCCTGCACCCAATCCACTCCATTTGCACCCTGGTCGCCCTGGCACGGGGCGAGTGATGCGAGCGCCTCCACCCAAAACGAATACTACATCGGAGGCTGGCTCTCCTCTGATCCTACTCCAGCAAAACGATCAGTTTTCTGGTTCCACCTCCGCATGGACGAGGCGTCCTTTCCCTGGCTCTTCAAAACTAAGACTGCCAGCGCCATGATCCCAGCACTCGAGCTCCTGGGATCACTCATCCTCATTGCCTTCATCCTGAAGATGGGGGAACGCAACCAGCTGGCAGTCAAGATTCCAGTGATCACGGATAACCAAGGCAACGTCTTCTGCATGCTGAACAACAAGACGAGGCAGATGCCCACTGCTGCCATTTTGATGCAACTTGTCCTGACGCTCCCCAAGGGGGGCGCGCAACTTGCCCCACACCACGTGAAGCGTGACCTCAACCAGTGGGCCAATGAGCTTACTCATCCAAACCCCACTGGGTTTCATCCTGAGTTTCACTTAGACGCGAAGAACATCCTCTCAGAGTTCACCCTGATGAACTGGGTCCTCAAGGAGATCTACCACTACTGAGGACCGCCATTTTCCCTTTTAAGCTCCCTTCCAGCTGCTTCACGCGCTGACTAGAAGGGGGCCAACCATTCTCGACTATGACACCCATGGGTCCTAGACTGGACGCCCGGTGTCAGTCTGCTTTACAGGTTCTCACCGGCTGATTTTCGAATGCCACCCAGTGCAAACCAGGTGAAGACCTGGTATGGGTGAAAAGGACAGTTCAAACCTGTAAAGGCAGACACTACCACCTCTCTGGAAAAGAGGTGCAAGCTGCTGTCTCAACGCTGCTGTCTGCCTTTTTGGATTGATGTTTGGGGACACATACGTATCTTGTGTATATGTTATATGCAATCTTATATGATTACAGCTGACTATATATATATAATACAAATATATACGTAGGGTTCAAGTTCTGATGCACTGCAGGGAATCATAAGGGATCTCAGACCCAGCCACCAACTCCTTCCCCCAACGACTCCTTCCCCCAACGACGAGGTCTCGCCCGTTCGCTCGGCCCGACCGAGGCAAGGTGAGGAGGATGCCATGTTGGCGCAGGTCCCCTTCAATGACGAAGGCCCTGACTTTCCTCATCCTTGGGGGGACGAGGGACGCATGAACCGAAGACGACCTGTTTGCGGCAAGGAGTGCATTGGGCGTTTTGGGTGGATTTTTCGGCGTAGTATAGTGATCGCAACCCTTTTTCAAGCTTTCTATAGGTTATATTTTGGAGGAGAACGAGGTTGAGTGGAACGGCATACTTGGTGAGCTGAACGAGAAAACGCAGCAAATCATCCTTTTGCATCCACTTCATGCACAAATTCCACTGTTTTTCTTTTTTTCCGCCACGCATTGCTGGACGCTACTCTCGACATCCTCGGAGAATAGGAAGACCGACACAAGGGGATCGTCTCCGAAGCAAGACGGGAGCCTTTTTCAAGACTCGAGGCGCCTGCCTCGTGGATGTTGAAATCTTCATCTCGGGCAGGTGAGAGGGCGTCCTTTGGGAGCCGACTCCACCCAGATTCCTGCAATCCCTGCATCTTTTGGTTCAAGGATAAGGCCAGCCGGGTTGGGGAACGCTGCTTTTGTTCGTGTTCGCTCCTTCTCGACTCGGAGAGAGTTGTAACCGGAGTGTCCGTTTTCTCCCCTGTGCTTGTTGGAAGCGTGCTTGTTGAGAGAACAAAACCATTGGATGCTATATCAATCGACTCTGGCACTTGACTCTGAAAAGACCATGGTGGAGATCTAGGCCTTCCCGTTTCGGACAAGAATCGTGAGACACTTCAATGTCCGAAGCACTTCTTTTTCATCTGATGCATCTCGTCCGAAGCCTCTACGACCTTTGTTGGGTGTTTTGACTCGTCAACAGGATACCTTCTGAAGTAATGAACATCAACACCATCCCAGCAATCGGCACCACAGGTGCAAGCTCACCACCTTGTAGTGTGCCACTTCGGTGGAAGATCGCGCCCTTGGGCGGTCCGATAGAAGGGTTGTGCATGGTTGTGCCTATTTACTTTGTCTAGCAGCAAGTTGTTGAAGAAGCTACTAGTAACAATGGACAACAAGAAGCTCCGAACGTAACAAAGACCATCGCTACCTAGGAGCAAGGACGCTACTAGGGGCGCTCCTGGCCTTACTATGAGGAACAAGAAGCTACTAGCAACAAATAAAGGGCTTTTGACCTTTCTTCAAGTCTTTGGGCGTGCTTTTGCCGGAGTTTGGATGGCACGGACATCCAGGGGTGAAACTGCAACTATCACCCCGCCAGAGGGGCAACGATCCGTAGGTTTGACACTTTGGTGCATGATATGCACCTTTCTGGCAAGCCACTGGTGACGTTAACCAATTGCTCTATTCATAGCCGCCAGGGTTGGATTGAGTTGTGGCCACATTGCAGCTCGAAGGGTGGCACTTTTGACGCGTCTCACCCATCCGAGCTCTGCGAGGGCGGAGTGTGTGGGCGACCACTTGGGATTATATGTTGATTGCCATACTGTATGATATGCTCCCCCACTGGCAACCATCATGAAACATCTAATTATAAACATCTACTTTCTTATCAAAGGAACACCTGAACGACTCCTGGAGCTGAAACCGCTCAACTCCTTTTGGAAGCTGACGGTTCTACTCGCGTTTCTTCGGATCGGGTGCAGGCGTTGTGCAACAAGGGCGTCATGTGCGACTTCTGCCACTTCCGTCACCCAGGCGTTCCACATGTCCCACGAGCAGCGGGAAGTGTGAACTGATGTGACAGATTCGACCAGGATCGAACGAGTGTCCAATGGAGATTCCTCAGCAGGGCAGTTCATTCGACACCCCTTGGATGGTCCAGGAAGGTGATTTTTGCTGATTTGGAATCGATGATAGAGCGAGTGAGTGAGGCTTCTGAGATGAGCAGGCCCAGGGATTCTTTTGGACAAGACTTACAGTAAGGTTTTATGTGGCGAGGCCTGCCTTTCTTAGGGATGCCTCCTATGGTTCAGTTCCGAGCGTCGAAAACGCAAAACGGAGATGGCGAAGCTCCAGTTTGGCCGGCATTGGATCTCGCAATCTTCATTTTGCATGGACCAAAAGGGTCACACGGACAAGTCACGGGTCCCAGTACTTTTCTTGAGAAGTTGTTCAACCATGTTCAACCATGTTTCAACCAATCCTCTTTTGGAGTCATCAAGGTCCAATGTGGGACAGATCCCAGACCTGAAGTGACTTTGCGTTTGAATCCACTCGCAATGGCATCCCTGCGCGCTCGATGGCGGGAAGACCACACATTGCCCTGGTTGCTAACAAACAAGCGCTCAGTACAGAAGGGATGTACGAAGTCAGCAAAATAAGCAGATCAGAAGATTGGAATCTGAATCCATAATCCTGAGGTGCAGTAGCTTTTGGCCTTCCTAAGTCGGCAGGGACTTGAGAAGAACAACTCGCGAACTCGGGGACATTGAGAGGAAACGCCACGTGTTGGAAAAGCGATGGGCATTTCTGCTCCCGGCTCTCCGACCATGGCGACACCGATGGCGAGGCCAAAAGAACAAGCGGATCCGACCCTCCAAGAACACTCGCTTGCAGCGCCTCGGCGGCTGGCGGATGAGAGACGGGACGCGCGTGGGACGGGACAGGGGGGCTTCCCCGCCCTCGCCCCGCGGTGCGCGGACTCGAGGAAGAGCGGGGACGGTGAGTCAGGGGACGGGTCAGGTTGGCAGTTTTGGGCGGAGAACCAGTCCAGCAGTGGACGAGCTTCTTATTGTACACTGGTACACCCCATCCGGTTGCCCACCACCAGCTTCTCAGGATGAGGGCTGCTCAGGCAGCAAAGGCGCAGAACTGAGGACAGGGTGGACTCTTGCACATGACTGAGACACAGTGGATGTGGTGCCTTGTGTTCGTATTCCTTTGCTTTTTCATGTTTTTGTCGTCTTGTCCTTCCTTTTCTTTCTTCACACTCTGGCCTCATCAAAAGAGAATCCTGTGCCGAAATGGATGTTCCCGGGTGACCTAGGTGTCGGACGCTTTGACCCACATACACACACTCTGACATTGGTTTTCAGTTAGCTCAGTTCCCAGGTCGGAAATGGCGATGGAACCGAAAGGTGGTAGAGTCCGCGGAAAAGTATTGTTTAACAAAAGGTTTTCGCACATCTGCAGCTACCGACTACTTAGCAGACCTAGGAAGAAAAGAGTGAACCGAAAGGCGAAAAGTCCGAGTACGTGAAGATGTTTGAACAAAGGTTGACGCGTGACTGCAGAAAACTAGTTACTGATTACTTAGCAGACTGAATTCACGCCGTGCAAGGAAACCTGGTTTGGGGGATATCATGCGAAGAACCACCATGGAAACAAACCAACAGCGGCAAGGGAAACCAGTGGAGTCATTGCGTTTGATGCAGGTACACAGTGGAGCGTCCTCCACTGCTTCAGCACCAACCGATACCCTCTTCGTTGGACGGGCAGTATCGGTGGTGACCCGTCCCCCTGTGTATTAAAGCTCTTGGAAACAGACTGTGGCACACACACTCAGCCGCTTTGCGGCGCTCCGGCGAAAAAACCTAAATAGGCACCCAAAAAGCCTTAGACACGAAAGAAAGAAAGACAGAAAGAGCAGCGCTAAAAGGGCAGGAGAAAAAGATAGGTGTAGTGAAAGGTGAATACTTAGCCCTTGACTGGGGCAGGGAAACGAACCTCAAGAACCACCTAAAAAGCCTGAAAGAAAGCCCAAGAAACGACGAAGAGCGCAAGAAAGAAAGAAAGCGGGGGGTCAGGGAGGGGGTGTATGTTCATGTGTGTGTACATGTGTGTGTCTGAATACTTAGCACTCTAGAGTCACTGACTACTTAGCGGAAACCAATTAGGTGCAATAGTTAGGGAGCGGGACTTTAGTCTTAAACCGCCCGGGTAGAGTAGACTAGAACAGGGACAACAGAGGGAAAGGCACCGACACACAAGTGTGTCGAGTACCATTTCCCTCTGTTACCCTAATTAGGTAGGGAGTAGAACTCGGCGGGGGGGGGGGGGGGTGGTGTGGGAACCCAAACGATCAGAGTCCAGTTGGCAACAAAATGGGCATGTCAAATGCAAGAAACGGTCTCAAGTCAGTCATGATGCCGTAGGCCCGGCGGCTTTGAAGCTTGGGAATACAGTGGTGAAACAAGATCGGTTAAGAGAATCCAACGTGTGCAGAGAAACGTATATTCAGTTGCACGGCAATCCGGAATGGTCTCAGCGCCCCTGTGACGGGGATCACACCCTGCACCCAAGTGGGACGGCAGAGCGGCACACACTCTGACGTTGGTTTTCAGTTAGCTCAGTTCCCAGGTCGGAAATGGCGATGGAACCGAAAGGTGGTAGAGGCCGCGGAAAAGTGTTGTTTAACAAAAGGTTTTCGCACATCTGCAGCTACCGACTACTTAGCAGACCTAGGAAGGAAAGAGTGAACCGAAAGGCGAAAAGTCCGAGTACTTGAAGATGTTTGAACAAAGGTTGACGCGTGACTGCAGAAAACTAGTTACTGATTACTTAGCAGACTGAATTCCCGCCGTGCAAGGAAACCTGGTTTGGGGGATATCATGCGAAGAACCACCATGGAAACAAACCAACAGCGGCAAGGGAAACCAGTGGAGTCATTGCGTTTGATGCAGGTACACAGTGGAGCGTCCTCCACTGCTTCAGCACCAACCGATACCCTCTTCGTTGGACGGGCAGTATCGGTGGTGACCCGTCCCCCTGCGTATTAAAGCTCTTGGAAACAGACTGTGGCACACACACACACACACACCAACATCACCAACTAGAACCAGGATTTGTTGGTCCAGGTATGGGAGAACTGCAAAAAGATCAGTCATAAGCACAGGGCAGATGAAGTGGTGCAAGCAGGGGGAGAACTTGGGTCCATTTTGGAGGCTTTGACCTCTGAATGGATTTCTGGAGTGCCAAACGACATGCAGGCACCATATCGCAGCTGTCCGATGCCCCGTTCTATTTGTTGTTTTGTTGGACTTGAGACGGCCAGGAGCGTGCCAACCCTGATGTCGGGTGACAGGGTTGGATACCGCCACCTGATTGGGATTTGTGCAGACCCTTTGGTTTGTCAAGATCCTTGGCGGAGCCTGGACTGTGCCAGCTGTCCAGGGTGTCGGATGTCAAGATCACTCGGCTTGGCAGCCTTTTTTTTCCAATCCATGTGGATGGAACACCCTGGAATTGTTGGCCGGCTCTGCGCAGGGTAGGAAGTCATTGAATAGATGCGCACGAGTTCAAACCTTGTGCGCACAATGTGGCGGCAAGCACACCCACCCACTTAGAGGAGTGGAGGGAATGCCGCTAAATCCTGGAGAGGTGCAGCAGTGCTAACAAGGCAAAAATCTGTGGCATTGCTCTGGGTTCTTCAGAAGGGTGGCTGCAGGTCCTTCGAGTGTCTGATTGCTTCAAGTGGCTTTCCTGATCTCGGTTTCTTTGGCGATCGAACTCGGGATGTTTGGGAACCCCGCTGCTCTTGGTGTTCTATTCATCCTGCGGCCACCCACAGCGTGAGAAGACCGTAACATTTTCAACCGCAGCATTTCCAACGCCTAGGGCGTGGGTAAGCGGAGGACGGGGCTGCCCGTAAGCTTTGGCACCCCAACAGGTGCTTCGCGTGAAACACTTGGGAAAGGGTCATAGAGCACTTGACGTGCATCCTCAGAACTGTTCATGGTGGACCATGGTGGTATACGCCATTGTGATCTCAGGGTGAGGATCCCTGATGCACCAGGTTCTTTCTCCTAAGGAGACCTTCATGGAAAGCTTGAAGACCACTGAACACCAGGTTCCCAGAGTAGGTAGAAGACCACTCCACACTTTCTCCGGGAAGGTCTCAGAATTACCCTGCTTGGGTGATTTCAGATTGAAACCTGCCTTTTTTGCAAGGCAGGCAATGAAACCTTAGAAGGAACCTACCACGCCAGTCTAGTGGTGTGTGTCCACGCCAGTCTTGGAGACGAATGATCAACCACTTTTGGTGAGGGACAGGCAGGTATCATGGCAGGGAGTGCAGATCTGACTTTTTGGGATTCGGTTTGAAGTCCTACTTTTCCAAGGCGTGAGCGAAGCTATTTTGAGAAGTCGTGCGCGAGATAGAGCGCCTTTTGAATGGGTCGCAAAAAAGTCATTTGCGCTTCCCGCGGGCTCCTCAAGAACATCCATTTGGATCTTGTTTTCACGCGTTTCGATCAAGTTGAGGAGACCCACACTGCCTGACTTGGGTTCACAACGAAAAGCTTGTTGACCGGCAGAGTGCGCCATGGCTGCGACTTTTGCATGTCAACATCCAAGGGGATTTCAGAGTCCCGAGTATATGGGGCCGTCAAAGTTGTCACGAGCATTGAAAGAAAGGTCTTTGCGTTGTCAAGCATGCCTCCTCACTTGCAGCACAAGTGGGTCCCTTGAGGCGGGGGCGTCCTCTTGGGTTTTGGCAGATTATTTTCAGTGTGCTGAAACCATGCAGTTCGACTTGCAGCGCTACGGCGGCCGCGCGAATCATGCAGCAAACACTCTCAGAGTTTGAATGTTGGTTTGTGGACGTGAGCATTGTTCTGAATGATAGTGGATTGAGAGTAGATGCACAATCCCCAATGTTGGTGGTTTAGTAGCGGACCTCCGTCTAAAATACATTTTGGGGTGCCAGTGAAAGCAAAGTAATGATAGACAGAGAGAGAACTTGTCAGCAAGTTCATAGGTCCCAAAGACTCTGCGTTTGCAACTTCGAGCCTCGTACGTACTGAAGAAATATTGGATGTCAGACTGACAAGACTCCAACTAATTTCGGGGAACAAGCGCGATTCTTGGGGCCGGGTCAACTGGAAATGGATATGAAGATTATGAAGTGTATCCTCACCAAGCCAGGCAATTGATGTCAAAGACTTGGGGCAAGGAATCATTTTGGCCCAGACCGAGTAGCTGCCACACCACCTGAAGGTGCTGATTTGCACTCTGAGAGTAGTTCATGGATGCATGGTCAATAAACTCTTCCTGGTTTCTCCCTTGTGTTTTTTGTGGCACAAGACTTTCCGGATTGATATCACCAAAGAATCGAATCCTTCAGCCAGCCCTACCGTTGGTGCCTAAGAGGACAAGGCGCGAACTGCAGTGGCAGGTGGGATGAGCGAGCGACCAAGAGCTCGTAAGCTCATCCCTGCACCTTTCCGACTGATTTGGTGGTCAAGATCGGGTTTTGGACCAGGTGAAAACCACCATGAAAGAGATCTACCCACGACATGCCTGGATTTGACATGACCAGCCTCTCACAAACTGCGCACGGATCATGGGACCCGGGTTTCTGCCAGCGAGGGACTAGTGTGAAACAACGGTCAACTCCGTTTCTCCAGGACAGTCCACCAGAGACTTGAAAACCGTTGTTCTAGACTCGATGGACCGATGGTGATGACTGAGCTGGACCTTGTCCTTTCCTTTTGGAAGCACTTTAGACATTTTGAGATCTCTTTCAGTTTCTCAGAAGATTTCAGGTGGAATGGGGAATCCTCTCCTTGGCCCGACCGCGACTCCACCGGGCCGCGGACCGCCAACTCGGTAGTTTCCGCGGCGCGGCCGCATCACCCCAGAAGGCGAGACAGCAAAAGGTGAGCCGGGAGAGAGGTGACTCTTGGTAGTTTGTTTCCAGAGCCCCTTGGAGCAGGTCGTCTCTTCACCTGGGAATGTGTTGGTCTTGGGTTGCACTCGACTGGAGTTTGCTTAGCTTGCACACAAATTCACGAACTTTGGGTGTAGATGGTGGAGTGGATATATTCTACACCGTTTCCGCCAAGATAACCAAATCAAGAAACAACTGGCTGCCTCCCACTTGCCACTCAACCGGCACGAAGAAATGCGAAGAAGTACCAAGAAATTGCTCCAATTCTGAATCGAAGCCAAAATGGATTGGAGGTTCCCCTTCAAACACCTTGCTTGGCTGCGTCCCTATCTCACGGACTCGAATCTGATTCGATCTGAACGCTCAGAAGTGGAAGCTCCCAGGCCTCATTCCCAAGACTGGGATCCAAACCGTGAGGCCTTGACCAAGAGATCATGCCTCAATGAACCGATCGCAAACTGCAGATTGCGAAGAGAAGGCATTTTTCTTCCCGTTTTTCGGATGACCATTTTGCCAACCTAATTTACCGAGATCGCAGCGAAGTGAATACGCAGGGCCCCTTGGTTTTCTTTAAACTTTATATATAAACAACATTTCTTCTCCAGTGCGGCAGCGGGGGAACTGAAAAAGGTCCCTTTGCGGACGCGCATGAGGGACCTCCACTTCCGGTGGAGCTTTTTGTTGGTAAGCTGCCAACCCAAGGGCGAAGAAATCCATCACGAAAACGGCCGACCGTGCCGCCCGGCCCCCATCGACTTAGCTGCCCCGGGGGGGGGGGTGAAACGGCTCCCCGGGGTGAACCGCAGCAATGAGGCGGGGGGAGGGTTGGAGGGAGGCCGAAGTCCAAGGGTTGCGGGGCCCTGTGGGAAGCACGTGCTGTAGGACAAATTACTGCGGTAGCTCGGCTACACGAACTATTGACCATTCTCCAGTCAAAGCCTCTGAGTATCTCTAATTGGGGCAAGTGTCCCACTTCTTCCTCATGTTTGATATCGGCCTCACTGGGTCAACAAGAGACGATCAGCAGCAGGGACTTTTCTTCGGATCCTTCCGATTTGCAAGTCCGGTGGACTCGCTCTGCTGCTGCAGATATCCGGTTGAGGTGTCCAAGTCCTTTGCAGAGCGAGTGCAGGACTGGACAATGACCGCAGGACTGGAAAATGACTGTAGTCAGAAGAGTGAATCCCTTTCACAGTATGCCCACATATGCCCACCTTGAGCTCCTGGGAAAGGGTGTATCTCCTCGATATCTGTCCACCCCAAAAACCAACACAGACTGACTTATACTTATAACCTGCAAGGTGACCTTCAGGAAGACGATCTTCCTTTTTTCAAGTGTTAGGGCTTTTCCAGTCCACAGACCCCCAAAAGCATAAACACTTTGAACCCACAGGGCGGCCCGGTGGTGAATGGATACTTTGAATCACCTCTTTTCGAGCTTGACCGTGCCATGACCCACAGCCTTGTCATCTTGAGCCCACCTCGGAAGGCTTTTGGTGACCTTCTTGGCGGCGGCAGGCGCCGTAGGGGACCGTGTGGAACCCCCGTGCGAGCGCTGAGCTCGCAGGTGATTGTCCGGTATTCCTTTTGGGATATCATCTCTGACACAGGCTTAGTGCTTCACTGGATATGTAGATTTGTAGATAAAAATCTATCTCCAGGTGGATGATTTGCGCTGAGGAAGATGCTTTCTACTCCCTTGTATGGGTGAAGTCGAGCTCTTGACACACAATGGACATGGGTAAAGCTTCAATCAAATGGTCTCCCGAACTCGTTTAAGGTCACCCACAAGTCTAACCCTTAAGCCTTAAGCTTTAGGCAGGTCATGCACGGCCTGCAACCAATATGGAACTTTCCAATCAATCTTCATGGTGTGCGCCTGAACACCCCAGCAAAGATCGCTGTAGGCAATCCAATCTGTAGCAGTCAGAATCGCGCAGGCTTTCGGTTGCACCGGTCTCTCCCAGCTGGACCGGTCTCTCCCCGGTCGTCGATCCGCCCCACGGGAACGCTCCGTCCAGGTGCCGTGCAGCCGGAGGTCCCCTGGATTGGTCGCCACGCGCTGAAGGCCGCCGAAGAACACGTCGGGGCAGCCCAGGTCGACGGCGGCCGGTGAACGGACGGGAGACGGGCGGGGTGGAACTGGCGGCCGCTGGAACTTGCGGGGGCGGTGAAAGGGACGACGCGTTTCTTTGTTTTTTTTGCCAAGGTTTTGGGGCAGCCGCGGGTGGTTGGTGAATTAGGATTCCCGGACGTTTTTTTGGGAAAAGGGAAAGCCATGGAAAAGCCTGCATGGCTTTTGGCCTGAGTAGGGCATGTGTTGGCTCTTCTTTAGCGGAATTTTTGGACTCCCTTGGGGTCAGTACCTGGCCTCAGATCGTTGAGGCATTCCTTTAAACTCTAAAGTAACCTGCGGAGGGGCTCGGATTAATATACTCCTACATGGTCTTAGCTACAGAAACACTGGAGTTCTTCTCGATGTTTCATTTCACTGATCATCCCTGACTCATGGCAATGGTAATGGTACACCTCCCATCTTGTAAATCTTGACAAAGTATTGGCTTCATACAGCCACTTGCTGCTTGGCTATAGTAGCTATAGCCTATAGCATTCAACTCCACCTGCATGCACTTCTGTACATTGTACCTACCTGTTGTCCACTCTAATGAGTGCCAGAAGCTACCTCCGCCCTTCCTCGCGCCAGGAGGCTGTGGCGCAGGTGGCAGCTGAAAGCTCCAAGGCCAGTCATGAGGCGCGCTCCAGGGAAGCACATGTTGAGCTTGGTCTTACACAATGAAATAACTGGAGATATTCCAGCCAGCCAACATCGACCAAGGGCTCTACGGGCAGTGCTTTAACGTTTCTATTTCTTTTTTCATCTACCCTGGTTGGATTTGTTCTGATCTCTAGTGCTTGAGACAGCGTGTACAAATCGAAAACTTCAAAATTTTTCGTTCCAATGGCAATCCAGCCACAGGGCAGAGGTTCTGCAAGGCTAGTACTCCTTCAAGCCATTCTGCTTGTTTGACTTCTTCACTTGTAGAACTCTGCTGCCGAGAGAACTGGCCCTTATCTTGCTGAGTTGACCCAACAAGTGCTAATTCTATACTGCTTTGCTCAATCATGCTGTAGAGTCATGGCTGGAACGCCGCACCATGCGTGCATTTTTTGAATGCACAAGGCGGAGGAGCGAAGCTTTGGCACCTGTGTTATACACCCCATATAATTATATAGAGAGAGTGTGTGAATCAGCTTCCAAGATGTCATAGGACTTAAATACTGTGAGGATTACAAAAAGATGTGAAAGGACCCCAATCTCCCAAACTCCGCCCAGTTCGATCGCTGCCCCTCAGGCCTTGCTGAGTGCCCAAGCAGCGCTCTCCGCGCGCGACGCCGCGCGGCAGAGCAGGGACTTCCTCAGCGCGCAGGTTTTTTGCGGCAGGGATCGTTCGGTGGAGATGATCTCTGGGCATGGAACCTAATAGAGCTTGATGTCGTAGTTTTCTTGGAACGCTTTTGTGCTAGCTTCTAGACATGCCTTCAGGATGTTCATGTCCGCAATTTCCCCAACCCCAAACCAAACAGCACAAAACACCCGGCGACGAGGAATGCTATCTCCAAGTGTCCAAGCCAAAGAGGGCCGGGGAGATTATCTTTTTGATCACCGTAGTCACTGAAGTGAGCATTGACTTATATGTTTTGTATACTGTAAACACTCTGACAGCTGTTTTCGGATGCTTTCGAAGATCCGATCTCCCAATCTTGAGAGGGGTGCCGTGGATCCAGACGTCAAGACTTGGACGCTCACTGATTTTGTGTTTGTGCATCCAGTATCCAGTGATTCCAGGAAGAAGATGGGGCATGCAAACCTTTGGTCCCATCATCATCCTTGTCTGAACATTTCAACCGAAAGCTAAGACCTTTGCAGCTTCACAAGTGACTTCAAGGATCTTCAAGGTGAGATCACCAGGTTTGGATCAAAATGAACCAGGATTCACCACGCATTCTTGGAAGAAGAGGGAGAGCTCTTTTTGAATGTGTTTTTTTTCTTTGAATGTTTTTGGTGTTTTCATCTTCGATGTCAACCAAAACCGTGATGATGAGAGTTCTTGTTGGGTTTGGTATTTGGTTTGTGCATGGTGTTTGGTGTTTCGCAGCATCTGGTGCTTGTGCAACGGGAACGTTCGGTGAGAAAATCTCCCATCGGCAGGTGGATCCCCGTGAGGCCATCCAAAAGGCGCCTGGAATTGACACGTTGAAAAACCGGTCGCAGGTGTTCTCGTCGCTGCGGAAGACCTTCCATTTTCTTTTTTTTTGGGGGGTGAACATGTTCACCAGCTCCAGGCTCCGGGCTCCGGGTGGACTCGATGTCGAGATGTCGCCCACGCGCTGTTCGGTGAAGAGATTTCAGGTGACTCTATTGAGAACTGCCCCGGTCCTTGCTCCTAGTAGCCATGCCAGGAGCCCCTAGTAGCTTCTTGTTCCTAGTAGTAAGGCCAGGAGCCAGCGTCCTTGCCCCATGATCGACTTCCCAAGTTGTTCCATGGTTGCAGCGACCTGACCACTTGAACGGGTGTGTGAAATGTTCTTATGGCGAAGCCTGAGGTGACTTTAAGTCCAAAGAGGGTGTACATCGGTTGACCCCTGGAACCGTACAGAGATGCTGAAGAAAGGATAATTGTGAAAGACGGGTCCACGTGGAAGAACTCTTTGAGGTTCTGCAAAGATGACCTGAAGAAAACACCTAAGAGCCTGTTGGGAGGTTTCTTCGGGTCAGACAGCCCAGCATGGCCATGCATGGCCAGGAGCTGGATCAAGCGAGAGATTGGGCTCAAGAGGCCGGGAAGCCCAGGGCTCGGTGCACTCGGTGCACTCGGCTGGAGGGGCCGTGGGGTCTGGGTGAGGTCCGAAGCAAACTTCCAACTCCGCATGACCGATGTGGCTAAAGGCCGCCGTATGAACTCACCAGCGAAAGCAGGGAGACTTGCAATGCTTGATGCCGTTTCTTGGACTTTGAATTCACATTTGAGAGATTGCGGAACCCCCAGTCGTCACTGCGAGGAAAGTATGAAGGCCCAACCCTTGGCACCGAATGGCAGCGGATTTCTCGATGTTTTCAATCGCCTTGAGTCGGACTGAACCGCTCCGCCTCGTCTGAGGCCAGAGCTTACGCCTCGCATGCCGAGCAGACCTTCGCAGAGATGAGGAGCGAGTGCCTCCGGGTGCTTCTCGGTATCTCATGGTATCTCGAGAGAAGCCTTGGAGGGACAAACAGCAGGTTTGCAAGCTTGAAGATTTGGCTGTGAGTTATTGATGCCTGACCTACCCGGACCTACCCGACCCATTTGCCACCTGCTCAGTCACGTAAAGAAGGGATCTGGGGTTCCTGTCTGATGACGGCATCTTGGCTTGAAGTCACGAATATTTGTAGGAACTTTTGAGAGCTTCTTCAGCTTCACCGCATTTCTCACTTCACAGCATTTCTTGCATCCGCCACCAAATTATCACCAGCTTTTTCTTTATGCACCCAAAACACCTCTCTCGGCTCGCCTCATGTGAGACTCTGGGCCCTTGCTGTGCGGGCTTATGGACCATAATGGACCCCAAGGGCGAACGCCTCTACTGCGCCGCGCTGCCCCCCGCCGTTGCGCCGCTCCCGGCCTGCCTGCGGCGGCCCGCGCGCGTGGCCTTCGATGGAGCGGCGTACGATCTGCGGGCGGCGGCCGTGGAGGTTTTGGAGAAGGTCCCTTCGATGGGCCTGGAGGGGCTGATCGTTGATCAGTGGATTCGTGGATTTCATGGATTTGTGGAAGATCTTAGAGTTGTGAACCCCCCCAAGAAAAAACACAATATATATATATATGTTATATTATAGTGACGATTGGGCTGATTCTTATGCTAGGTGTAAAGCTTGGGTCTCATGGACTGGAAGACTCTTGTTCCTCTACCAACAGTGGGTTTTCCACTTCCATGTGAGTGAGTGGAGGTTCAGCATGGTTCAGCCACATGCCCTCGCTTGAAACGCCCTGTTAAGTGACTTCGAACCAGTGTTCTTAACTCACAAACACTAGTCAAAGTCAAAGTCAGTGTAGCTTCAGCCACACGCGGCCGTTGTTGCTTGCCCGGAACCCGAGCCCGGCCTGAACCCCACGTCCGCCGTGTGTGCAGGCCCAGCTGGGCTCCTGGAAGAGCGATCGACTCGAGGAGCCACCTGGGTGACTCAAGAGACCGGTGTGGACTGAGATGTTGGGAAAGTTTGTTGAGGGGGATCCACAGGGTGATGGGGATCAGGTGCGAAACATGTGGGTCCACAGGTGTCCTTTTTTCGTTTCATCTGAAGAGAACGGTGCTGCTTCTGGTTCCCTATGGCGCTGGATGTTCGGGAGGGGTTTGTGGAAGATATACGTGGTGCTGAAAGTGGGCGTAAGAATGACGGAACATCTGATGTGAATGTTACGTTTCAGAATTTTCAGATTAACATTTTATGCAAAATGAACAACATGATTCAACATGCATATTTGTGCATTTTGTGCAACAATACTCAGCAGTCATGGAGTCAGCAGACCGGAGCATGATTTTCCAATCGAACAGCCTCATGAACCGGTTCTGTGGTTCTGTCAAAAAGACATCGAACATCCATAGGCACTTGAAGACCAGCACCAGTGCCACAGGAACGTTCTTGCAGGGCTTACATCTTCCGTTTTGGAGAAGCAATTCCCTTCCAAGAGGTGCTTCATGGATGCCGTTCACATGGGAAGACTCACGCAAACCTCTAAGACTGGGCGAGGTACACGGCGGGCGCTGTTCCCACCCGCTTGCCCGTCCAAGGTACACCGCGCCCGGCGAGATCTTCCGTTGCTTCCGGGTACGTCAGGCACTGCATCGGTGCGTGGAAGAGTCCACTGGATTCCTGGAAGTCTATGAGCGCTTGGTGCAGTGACTTGCCACAGTGTTCTTTTTTTTTGTGTTGGGTCGTGTTGGGTGGGTGAAGTACAAGAGGTGATAGAGTAAATTGATGTTAAATAGATGTAGACAGTACCTTTCTGTTCCACAGAGGATGTGGAACTGGTGCTGCAAGGGGAATGCTTCCTCAAGCCACATCCAACTGACTCTACAAACCAAAAGCCCCGTAAACTACGATATGTCAATAATTCACCCTGCTGCCTGAAGGAAGGCCGGGGTCGCACATTCACCAAATAAATATCCCAGATGTTGCCAAACATGCCCAAACCTATTGGTTTTCCTTCTCCAAAACTGGACATCACACATGTTGCAGCATGGCAACATGCAGAAGAAACACACCAGCCACCCTCGTGGCCGCACAGACGAGGGCGAACACGCCGGCCTGCCGATGACCAAATGCAGAGGTCTTAGATGTGGGGAACTTCTTTGGATCACCGAACATGTAACAAAGACATAACAACGCAACATGTTCCGCGGATGTCCAGTGGACCTCTCACCCACTTTCCTCTCAACCCGTCGAGGTGGGAAATCTGCAACTGACCCCAAAGATCCCAAAAGACCTCTAAAGACACCAGATCCATCTGGCAGCGGCACGACGGCAGTGCCAACTTGCCGTGTGAGTCGCTGCCTGGCCTCGGCGACGCTCAGGAAGGTCCTGGTGCCCTGGTTGAAGCAACAGGCTGAGCTGTCCGAGAGAACACGCTTCTCCTACCAATTTCCGCCCACCTTGCGGCTACAGCCCGGGAACAGTGAGGAGTTGCTGGGATTCCAATCCAGCCGGGGAGAGGCAGTTGGTGGGCCTGTGTTGCTGTGTGGCTTGGATTGGTGGGACTGTTGTTTGCGGCCACCGTGAGGATGGTATTTGGTGATGCTTGGATAGATCATGCAGCATCCTGCATCAAAACGGGACACCGGTGGAGCTTCTGTTGTGTGCAGTCCCCGTGGGAACGAACACGGTCTTGAGAGCCGTCGCGGCGATAGGCTAGACACAGAAGTTGAATAAGAAGCAACAGGAGTGATTGCCAGGGAAAGCCTCAAGACATACTTACCGAAGCAGCTTCAGAATATTCAGAACGCAGGCCAACTTGGTCACGAACGTCTCAGCTATGTACTCTCCTGGTGCTTCCGCCAAAGTGTGCTACTAGTGTCACTAGTGAAAAAAAGAACCTCTGTAAATATAACACTGCTTGACCTCTCCATTTCAATCGCTCTTTCTCAGAACGCTTTAAACATGTGGCTTTGTGATCAATCAACTTACACCTACACATCCAAACCCTATGGTCACTCTCCACTCCGTCACTTTGTTTAAGGAAGGAGATGTGAGTGGTTTTGGAGGTGGTAAGACCATGCGTCTTGCAGATATTGATCTCCTTGACCTGGTGGTACTTGTAAGACCATCAGGTTCAAGCGACCGCATCGGGACGCGGAGTATGGCCACCAAGTATCTTGGTCATGAGCGATGGGACTAAACCGTCCGCCAGTTCTCAAGAATCTGATCGTAGATATTAGAATATATTACATATCTCCATTTTATCCATTCCATTTGCGCCTGGTAAAGTGGTCACTTCGGCGGCTTGCCAGACTATATGTCTCAATCAACTTCCCGCCCTGAAGTGGGGTGCTTCCAGATCCAAAAGCCATCCGTGTTTGCCATCTCCTCCTCATGCCAGCACGGCCGAATTGTGGGGCACTGGAGCTCTTTGATTGACAACTGATACGCAAACCAGGATTCATGCCTATGTATGTCTTGCGTGTGAAGGCAAAGATGAAGGGATGAATCAAGGGCGGCTTGTGAATCCTACGGTGATGCAGTGAACATGTTCCGTTCGCCGGTCTCAGGCCCGCCGATGAGACCGGTCACGGTGGTCGCGTTTGAGAAAGACATGGTTCCATTTGTCAGTCATTTATATTGGTACAATAAAGGAAGACATCAGTCTTCGGACTCATCGGAACCTCTCGATGGTGCCAACAAATCGATGCTGCTGAGGTAGGAGAGTTAAACTTTTGGATGCCCTTGACCGAGACTTGGGTGAAATTGGTGAAAGGACCGAAAGAACCCTGGGGCACTGCAGGTTGTGTGTATTCCCTTCTTTTTTTGCAGCGATCGTCTGTGATTAAGGGAAGATGGCCTCAGACAGTTCATGATAAGCGACAGTTGGATACTTTTGGGCAGTCATTACCATGCGAGCAGTGTCATCCGGAAATAGACATAAGGCATGTCACCAGGAAATTCAATGATTGTGGTACCGAGTGGTTTGTACCTCCACGTCCACCATGCTTGGATGGTTGGCAGCCAGAAGACCCGGCTATTTGGTTCCATCATTGTCCAAGGACTACAGCCTAACCCGAAGCACGTTGCACCTGGGACAGCACGTCTTGGGCCAGGTTTTGGGGCTGATGGAACAACCACGGTGCCCAGTGAGCATTCTGTCTTTGCCCCATCTCATCTCTTCTCTCTTTTGCTGCCCAAGAAAGAGTCCTCTGCCCCAGCTTACCCATTCTGTCTTTTGCTGCCCCTCTCGTGAGGGTATGGTATGCTGGAGAAATTTTGTTGTGACTTTTGATCACGAGGTGGGTGGAATCAGAGCCGGGCAAGGGAGACTACCAGCCGCTGGAGATGAGCCCTTCGGATCGAAGGTCGGCGGTTTCTGCGAGCTGAAGTCGGGTACAGCCCCTGAAAACTGCGGGGGTTTCACCACTTGTTCTGAGAACCCTGCAGACCCATCTGAGAATGCTCCAGACATGGTGCAATTTGCTCACCAAGTTCACCATGTCCGGTCCTTGGACGCACATCCAAGATAGAGTCCAGCCTTTGTCTTGGTGTGAGCTGTTGAGTTCCACATGACGCGTTTCGACCAATCGGTGACAACTCGGGAAGACAGGCGCCTGCATGTGATGTTGCTTACGCATCCACTCCACACTTTCAGGGCATCCGTTTTGTCAGGGCATCCGTTTGGTCTTCACGAAGCAACAACGGCCCAGGTGGCAAAAGCCGACTTATTCTCACAGTCGTCCAAATATATAATGGATCCATACACCGCTCCACTCTCCACTCCAACTGGGCGCCCAAGGCTATGAGTCTTTCACCCAAGGCTATGGCGAGATCGCCGTCTTTCACGGTACCCTCTGCCGGCATCATGTGCCTGCCAACAGCTCGCCCTTCTGTCGCATCTCCATGGACTTCAGGACGGTCGACCGCGCGGCGTCGTGGGATGGTCCTTTCCATTTGACCAACAAGTTCGCTGGAGCACCAGCGAAAAGCGCCCTCTGCCGTGTTCTCGGATCGATTATATATATATAATACTATATAATTATATATTCTAGAAGCCAAGCCTCCTTCTGAGAAGAATATGGGCTTACCTTTAGAAGAATATGGTCTTACCTTTAGCATATGAGGAAATCCATGGACATCATTGTTTTTAAAGCTACTTTTTGCAACCCCCCTCCTGGCCATTCTGCCGTTGTTTCAAGAGGTTGTGGTTCTGCCGTTAGAGCTGCGGATCGTCCGCCAGGATCGGTGTGGGCGAGTTCTTCGATCCGCACTGGACACTGAAAGGGGTGAAGCACATTCACCAGCGCCGCCGGGCCGAGAAGATCCATTTGGGAAGATTGGGGGTTGGGAACGCCAGGTCGAGGTCTCTCATACGTCTCTATTTTTAATACACACCTACATGCATTCCTCCCATTGTATCCACTCAATCAATCCACCCCGAGGTCGAGAGATTTGGCTCTGACTCCACCAAGAAACTGGTGCGTGGAGGACACCTGGCTGCAAAGAAGTTTATAACATTGTTGGCAACCGTGGCCCCTTTTTCTGATTGCATCTTAGTAAGATTGTTTTTTTGTTTTTTAATGGAATGGGTCCAAAAGAGTCTCTTGTAATAAGCACCAGGACCTGGAAGTCATTGGGGTAGACTTTGCCAGATGTGGTATCATCCTTTTTTATTTCTGGGTATATCCTTTCAGTTTCGCACCCCATTGAGGTGGTGCTATGGACGCTGGATTCTCAATGTCCTCGGAGCAATGACCAACGTTAGGAGGGGACGCTGATGTTTGTTTTCCTCCCCCTGCCCAGTCACATGGCACGTTGACACAGTGCGCTTTGTTGAGGGTTCTATACTGTGATGATGTTTGATGGACAGAAGGAGCTTGACTTGGGACAAAGACGCGCACGCAGACAAAGACTTTTTTACCAATTGCCGCCTCATGATTGTGATTTGTGGCAGGCATTTGCTGGCTGCTGTTCATCGACCTGCTTCCCTCCGAAACAACCCGAAGTGCAGCCTCGGCGCAAATCTGACGCCAGTTTCGCAGTGCATCAAAGCACGATCATTGGTCGGTCTGGGCTCGTGGTGGGCGTGAGTGCGGAAGAAAGATGGCACGAACTTGTCAGTTAGACAAAGCCTTGGCTTGCCGGGTGTCGAACTGTTGGTTTGGAAGTGCAACTGCTTTTCAGCACAGCCAAGCGCTGCCAACGTTGTGCGGCGAGGAAGCTCCCCCAGCAAGCGGTGGAGAATGTCACGAAACTGGTGGAAGAGGAGGCGCACGCGTTGTCCGCCTGTGCGAACCTCTGGGTTTTAACATCAAAAGATCCTCATTCACAGTGTTGCAACTTAGGCGTTTCAGCAGTGAACAAGATATGGGTCGGTGGCTTGGCCAAGTTCCCTCGTCTATGCATGCCCCTCTCTGGACTTTATCAGGGTCTGTATCAACATTGCCATTGTCTAGCTGTCTAGCTATATACAAGGTGAAAGAAGGGATGGACATGGGCGATTGAACCAATGATTTAGAGTGGAACCTATATGTGTGCGATGGGTGGATCGGATCGGCTCATCTTAGATCATCTCTAGAAACATCTTGCTTCTTATTCTTGTTTTTGCCAAAATGTGGGTTGAACTCGAAGTTTAGAGCATTTAGGTCAATTTGGGTCATGAATTGTCCAGGTGCGGCGGGAGGCGTACATGGCGGCCGAGCGCCAGGAGCCCAGGACTTCCCAAATGGACGCCAGGGGTTCAGATATTTTCCTAGACTTTCTATTATATACGGTATATTACGTCCTATTTTGTGTTCTTTCTTTGTTTCTTTGCTGTTTCTTTTTTTTGTCCTTTCCTTTTTTCTTTCTTTCCTTCTTTCTTCTCCTTTTTAGTTTCAGCCTAGTTTCTGCATTAAAAAGAATACATTTTGGTTGTCTAGTCTGGCCTTGGACAGAGAAGCACATGCACAGTTGAAGAGATGGACCAACTTTCAATTAGCAACCTGATCCACGTGACCCCGACACCCTCCCTCATCCTCGAGTCTGCGTAGCGACCCTCAAATAGACTTCGAAGATCGCAAAAGCTCCTTCCTTTGAGCCAGTCAATGCATTCTTGCAGATGCATCATGTCTCCGTATCTACTTTTCCACCACGCAGGCCGTGCCGCTGAGCCCACCCCATCCCCTGAGGCTGGGGCAAAGCCGGGAAGGTTGGTGACCAATGACCCTGACAAAGATTGCCCCCCAAAAGAAATGGACATAGGACTCAAGCACATGAAATTCTGGCACCTGTGACCCAGGCATGCCCTTTGGGTTTCCGTGAATCCAATTTCCATGCAAGACCCTGTTGATCATCGGGACCCCACCAGATCTCAACGTCCCCAAAAAGACCTTCCCCACTCAGGGTGAACTCTGGGGGCCTCATATCAGTACCTGGCAGATGATGGGAATGACCCGTTGATGGTGGTATGGATGGTTCACTCTGTTGCTCACAAGGGCATCCTGCCTGCGATTTTCCCCACAAAACTCACATATAGAGACTGGGTCGAAGTTCGACATCCCCTTTGTGGCAGGTCGTCCATGTTTGTGGCAAGGTAGACGTTTTTCTGTCTTTCACAAATGCTTGCTGAACAGTTGTACCCTTCCAAAGGCTGTGCGTGTGGCTGCCAAGACGAAGGCGGAGGAGGGGCTGAGTGAAGGAGGTTGGAAGAAGAGTTGTGCTGGCTGAGAATGCATCTAAGGGTTGATTCGGACCTCGCGCAAGAGTGCTTCCAGAGAATCAAGTCCGCATTTTATCTTTATCTGGGGGCTTGTTTATCGAGATTCAACATCTAGTCTCGCAGCCTTAAAATCTGGAACTAGGACAGGTTTCCCCAAAATCGCTGATCAGCATACTGGTTGTTGAGTGGTGCTAAATGACACTTGGACAACCTTGGGGCGACCCTATTCCTCACGAAAGGCAGCTGGGCCTGCTTCTTGGGCATTTTTCCGGGGTCTTTTTGTGGCACTGGAAGAGTGTGAGCTTTGATGCGGCCCATGGCCAAAGGCTTGGAGAACAGGCCATAGGCTCCCGGTCCACTAATGGCAAGGCGGTGGATCGTGGTACCCACTGGTGACCCACGGGCCTTGTGTCCGGATCTCCCAGTGACAGATCCGGCGGTTTCCGTCGCTGCGCAAGCGACGCATGTTTTCCGTCACTTGGAGAGTCACAGACTGGGGGAAATCAGTTTCGCCGGAAACTGCCACGAGTGGCACTTCGGTTGTGTGGCTAGAAGTTGTGATGTCACAGAGAGAGAAACTTGGGAAAGAGGCAAGAGGCTGAAGCCATGGAGTTCCCGAATCCAAACTCAGTTGGTATATGTTGGTATAGTGTCGACATTAATTACCCTGAACCACCCTCAACTCTGGCCTCTGATCGTCCATACCGGGCAATTCCGCGCACCGCATCCTTCCGCACACAGGAGCCGTATCGCCAAGGCACGTTTTTCGGGTGCCACGGGTAGGCAGGGTAGCTAGTGGGATTGCAGAATGACTATACCCTCTCGAAGATACAAAAGTCCAAAAACCATTTGTACTGTATTTTGACTGACTGAAGAAAAGGAAATTCCTTTTCAGGTCACCTAAAGACCATTCTTTATATATATATATCTATTTTGACACCCAGGGTATATATATATAAATATGAGTAGGCTGTCAGAGTTGCTGCTAGAGGATTTGTTTGCTAGAGACGTTTGACAGACAAGATGATATACAAGCTACCCCATAGAATGGGGATGTCCTTCCAAAAATGTTGACGGATCTCACACAAGGATGAACCAACTGACTGAAACATACGATTTTCCAGGCGAACCCGTGCGCGAACATCAAGCCGATACCCCATCGACGCCCCATCGCGCCGCGTGGCCAGCTGTAGAGCGGGCGCAGCAGAACGTGGCGCTGTCCCTGGCGAAGTCCCAGCGCGGTGGCCGAGCGCGAGTGGAGCAGGCTGAGACAGTGGAGCGGATTATTGGGGGTGGTGTGGCCGAGTCAAGGTCACTGAGCGTAGACTCTACGACCTCTTTTCGAAGGAGACCAAGGTTTGGCCGAAGAATATGGATGCCTGAGAGGCAAAGCTGTGTGGAGAACATCTTCTTCAATTTTTTTTTTCGGGCTAAGACGCCAGACGCAGAGCCTAAGACGAGGAGCAGTGGAAAAAATGGGTTTGGTTCCCAGCACTGAAGGGAATTGGACCCCCCTTTGAGTGGGCCCCAAGGCGGGTGGACCCTTTTTTTTTTTTCCGCTTTGCTCACCTGTTCACGTTGCAAAGTGGCCACGTTGGACGCCGAAGCCGTGGTTTGGAGCTTCGTTCGACCGAGGCGCGCCGCCGAAGCCGTGGACCGTTTGGCCGAGGAGTCCCAGGCGGTGATGTCTCGGCTCTACTTGAGCGGCGTGGAACAGGGTGATCCAACTTCTTGGACACCCCGGAAGACCTAAGATATAACAACACATATAGTAAGTTTTAATAGTCAAAGACCCAATCGGTTGGAGGTTCTCCTTATTAAGTTTTGACTCAGAACACTTCATGGTCGACCCGTCAGTAAGAACCGCCGGCACGACCCCCGGTTGGGCCAGCCTGGGAAGCCGCGTGAAGAGCCGACCTTCACAGGTGACGAGCTCTGTGGGGCTCAGGGGTGTGGATTGAGCATCGACGCACCCAAATGCACCAAATACCTGAAGTGAATAGAGCATGTGAATACCAATACTGAACATACTCTTCCGAACACCCATTGGGTGTTGCTGAATTGTTGGATCGACCAAGACTCAATTGGATGGATGCCGGCGGGGCCCGAGAGTTGTCCCCCGGGCCGGGTCGAAGGTGAGAGACCGGCACGAGACCGTCGATGGGATGGAGAGACTCCGATGGGATGGTTTCACCTGGATGAAGCGAATTCGTTGAAAGGTCATACCAACGGTGCCAACTGTTTTTTTGTTTTTTGTTTTTTTCAGTATTCAATCAAAAGGCATCTCCCAGCAGAGTAGATGTTTTGCCCAAGAGAAGCGCCTTGCAGAATGGGGATGGATTGCACACCTAACACCTCCACATCACCTGGAATGAAAGGTGCACAAAACCTTCCTAGAGCAGATAACACTGTCAGAGACACACAGAATCCACCAGGGGCGACGGGTGGATGAGAATTCGGTGCATGTGGTACCGAGCACAAAGCATGAGACACACACTTAGGATAGGGTGTACTGAACTGATAGCGGTGCCACACGCCAGCCTAGGGTTCCATTTCCTAAGAGTATCAGTAGGAAGCCATCGAATCCTGGGGGTCTTCAAAAGGAAAGGTGGCCCGAAGCGTAAGAACGAGGTCGGTGATCAGGTCGAAGTGACGGCGTTCCGTGCATGTCTGCAGAAGGTCAAGCGCAACTCAGCAAATGCTAAAAATCAAGCAGGTACACAATGCGGCGTCCCGCATTGCTTCACGACCGATCTATCACT